TTAACAAAAAAAAAAAAATAATAATAATAATAATAATAATAATAATAATAATAATAATAATAATAATAATTAATGGATGACTTTGTATTGTTCATAGACAGAGCATGTCAAATAAACTTTACACAATAAAATTGTGTAAAATGGACTCAAAGTAATAATGATATTAGTGGATATATACATATACATGAATAAAAACGTATAGAAGTATATGCAATATATCATTTTTCACTCATTATATATTGTATTATATTAAATTGAAATGTCGTATTATAAAAATCAAGTATATCATATTAATCGTCTAATTAAGGATAAGCTGCTTCATGTAAGAATTTGTAATATTTATAAATATTTATTTCCACGTTCATCTCGATTCTCGCCATCATATCGTTGTCGCCTGAAATCCATAATTTATTAAAATTAAATTAGAAATTTGAAATTATAAATATCAATTGGTACATCAAAATGTCCTATATCTAACTATCATTCAAATGCACTGCATCTATTACACAACACTTAGAACCTAAAACATACACTCAAAGCTGCCAAAAATCCCCTTTGGTAGGATGCAATGAATTAAGAATTATCTTCTTTAGAACAAACTAAAAATTTGGGTTCTAATTGAGTTACCTTCACACAAGCATTGCACAAGATGTAAACGAGTATATAAGATTTAAGCGCTTGTTTGTTTTTTAGCGTTTTTTGGCCAAACTGTTATTTTAGCGGTTTTGACCAGGTTAGAAACGCCAAAATAATGTTAAAAAGTTGTTTGGTTGTATGGCTTTCTTCTTAAGCTTTTTTCATGAAAACCCAACTTTGAAACGCTAAGGAATGAAGCGTTTTCAAATGGTGTTTTGTTATCTTGATAAGATATTTAATTGCCTAATTAACGAAAGCATGTGAAGGGTTGTGTTTCGTTGAATGTAAAAATATATGAAGTTTTCAACATTTCTCACATTCTACATGATTTATTTTATTTCAATAAAAACTAATCTCATAAGTTAATTTTGTATTTTTATTTTTCAAACATCAATTTAATATTTAATAGCAAATTACATTTGCTACCTTTAATCTTTTAATTAGTTATTGTTTACTTTAAATTTTTATCAATACAAAAAATGGAAATAAAATTACTTAATTATATCGAAATTATTTTTTTACTAAAAATAATTATATAAATATTTGATGTATACTACTTTATAATTTCTTATATAAATTATTTTATCAAATTAATAGTGTCAAATATATTTTTTTTCAAAATTAATCTCCTAATTTTACCAAACAA